TATATATATATGTACTGTTGTGTGCTCACCCGTGCTGGTGTTTGGTTTGTAGGAGAACTACTGCGACATGCGGATCAGCCTGAACCAGAAGCCCAACAGCAGCAGAGACTTTGGCTTCCAGGCAGCCTGGGACTCAACCGGAGCTCGAGTCACGTCCATCCAGCCAGGTAACAGCGAACAACGCTGCGTTAAACTTCTACATCCCCAGCTTTGCATTTCACAGCTGGGCTCCGCTGGTTAGTCGTCAGCAGGTTTTTCAGTCCACTTCAGTGGCAGTGCCAGACTTAAATAGGGCAACATCTATCTGGGTCAGATCTGCTGGGCCTGAGCCTCTTTCCACTGATTCTCCACCTCCGTATGACCAGATGACGTGTATTTCACTAACACACATGTATGTACTCTTAAACTCTGTCACACCAGCGTTCAGTGCGTTTAAGCCTGACTTTGTATGTATATGCCATCACGTCATGTCGTATGTTACCTTTCTTTTCTTCTTCATTTCTTTACCTATAAGACCAATAACATTTCTGTAAATGGGCCAGTGTTAGCCAGCGGGGCTAGTTTAAGAAACAGTGAGACAAAAAGATCCCAAAATGAGACATGAGACGGCGCATAATTCAATGTCAAGGTTATTGGATTGTCTTTACAAACATCCATATATCAACACACAGCAAAATGAGACATTGTCCCTCACAGGAGCAGGTAATAAGTAAAAGAATGAGGCATGCAAAGAAAAATTAGATACAGCATAAAATCAACAGGAAGAAGCAAAAGTGTCATTCTCAAGAGTAACACTGAACCACAAATTCCCCCTGAGGGCTGTGCCGACAGTGTGTGAATGACGTGTGTATGAAACTGTACTGTCCTTACACTGAGGTTTCAGCTTCACAGTGTCAATCTCAGTAAATTAAACTGTTACCACAATAACCACTATCCTATGTTGGACATTCAGCTTCTTGTGACCCAAGATGTGATAAACGTATCCCTCTGTTCGGAGCAGGCAGCTCGGCTGAGATGTGCCAGCTCCAGGCCGGAGACGAGGTGCTGACAGTGAACAGCCAGCAGGTGGCAAAAATGAGCTACACAGACTGGAAGTCCTGCATGGAGGAGGCTCTGCAGGAGGGCAGCCTGGTCATGGATGTTCGCCGTCATGGCAAAAACAGTGAGTCATCGAACACTGTGCACGCGCGCGCGTGTGTGTGTGTGTGTGTGTGAGGTTGACTTGAACCACTCTGAGGGTCACATTCCTGGACTGACAGTCCCACTCATGCAGCGTGCGTTGCTAAACAGTTTTGACACTTTAAATTGGTGCGTAAACTATTGTGAAATCATCCATGAATGATCTCATGACGGTGAAACGGTGAAGGACCCATGAGGCTTCATCTAATGAGTGGAAACTGTTATTGTGGGGACCACTGTGGCTTTTATTCCTCCCTGTGTGTCTTTTTCTCCTCCTATTCTTCCATCTTCTTCTGGTTATTTATTCTTTTTGCTGCCTTCTCTGTCTCATTCCTCTCTGTTCCCATGTGGTGAGAACTAACCCAGCTCAGGTCCATGGTCCTGTGCTGTTTTCACAGTGTTAGTGTAACAGGCTTCTACTGCGTCAGTGTCACCTCACAATCCAGAAGAACCACCCGCAGTAGCTCACCTGCACTAACACACAGTTCTGGGTATGATAGTGTAGTTGTGTCCGGTGGTTGTGAGTCTGTTGGAAACACTGCGTGGGTTTATGGAAACTTCAGTAAGCTGCATGGCTGGGGAAGGTGGGTTCTCTGTCACCCCCTGCTGCTCTCTATAACAACACCATCACAGCAACCTTGTCCCCTGCTTTTTAGTCTTCTTCATGCAACACCTCAAAGTCAAATTCTGTATTTCAAATATACACACGAACACTCATGCACAAATCATGTGAGGTTTTTGTGCATACACACATCGTATCTTTGTGCCATTGCATTGTCTGCGTGCAGACTGGGACAGAGACCAACCTTCCCTGCCATTTAAAAGCCATAAGACCATCAATCTGACCAGTACGGATCATCCGATACTTCTAGGTTCCCCTGATTCAAACACCTCAAACTCCAGCCTGGACTTCACCTCGCGCATGACCTCGGAAATGCTGCTGCCCAAAGAGCTTCCCGCCAACCCAGGCGTCGTAAGTGACCCAGAATCCCGCTGGTTGACTCAGGTTTGGTCTGATTTTAACTCGTCATTGTTCCCAGGCTCTTTGATTGATTTATTCTTTTAATCAGTGGACATCGTGTCTCTCTGCAGGATTTGGCCTCAAACAGAGTTAATGGAAGTTTCCATGAGAAGCCGGTGACCATGAGGAACAAAGGTAAAGGACACAATCAGAAAAGTTATGAAATTCATCTCGATGACTGTTTCTGTACTGAATATAAAAATACACAACGGTGTACGGTGTAATTTTGTTGATATGAGATGTGGGAGAACATGGCACTCAGTAGAGCTCATACCTCCGCCAAGGCCCAACAATCCCCCTAACTCAATCTAGATCCACCAAACTTTCACACACTCATAGACATCATATTATCAAATTATCCTCTGATCTGAATCCACACCAAAACTGATGTAGTGCATCCTTCCAAACAAATAAACCAACAAACGGACAGGGCTGAAAACATTGGCGGAGGTAACTACTGTGGATGATATTAATCTATATTGTTGAATACATCTTAAGCAACATGTGTGTAATTCACTTTAAAGCGATATAAGATTGTTTCTCCTCTGGTTAAACGTGTTTCTTTTTTTCACTTTTTTCCTGTTCTCCATTTCTCATGTAGAGTCAGAACCCATATCTTTGAAAAACTTAAAACGGCGATCAGAGTTTTTTGAACAAGGTAAAAAAAACAAAAGAAAAGCACTGACCAAAGAGGGGTGGGCTTCTCTTTATAGTAATTAAGATGTCTGTGAAATCTGTTGGCTGGGTTCTCTGTGCCTCTGTGTCATTTCTGCTGAAGTTCTCAGAGGGTTTTTTTGCATGCTTCTGTCCGCCACATGTTAAATTCAAAAGGAACCAGTTATAAATTGATAATCATGTCAGGATTTAAATCCTCCATCGCTCTTTCTTGGGACTATTCCTTTTTTTCTTGTCTGTTGCCAAAGCTTAATCCTTGTGCGTCTTCCCTCCTTCAGGCGGCTCAGGGTCCAGTGTCAGTGCGCTGGTCTACCTCTGTGGTAAACAGGGTTGAATGTGCAGTGATCTCCTCACCTTCAATTGGTACAGCCTGGGACACTGACATCCTGTTTAAGAAACTATTTTAATCATTCATTTTTGAGAAAAGACCAAAAGAAATACAAAAAATCAAAAGATAATATTAAAAAATGTGGGTATTCAGCTGCAGAACAATGAACAGAATGTCAGACACAGTGTCAGCATACCAACCACAAATACAAATCTTAGACTCCTGTTGTGTTTGTGGGGTTCCTGAGTGGTGTCCAGGCTTAATGCATGGTTATGCAGTTTGCTGAGCATGAACTTAAAAGCATTCCTGTTGGTTTCTTGGCGTGCATGTGTCAAAGCGTCTGTCAGCTACTGTTAGAGCGGCTACACTGAACTTTTGGTGTTTGTGCTGCTGATGCATGTGTTTCTACTCAGTTTGTTTGTTCAGTCTCACAATGTGCTGATTTTCATATTCAGAACTATTGGGGTGGCAATGTAAATGTCAACAAGTGGGCGATCTTTGCATTGAGAGAATCAATCAACAAAGTGAAATTTGACCTTTGCTGCTTTGAGGCTTGTTGAAAAACATCAATTAACTTTGGTTTTAAATGTCATTTGCAATCAGGAATTCATGCTTGACTTTAAAACCAAGTTGAAACTTTTATAAGCCGCTCAACTTTGTGTTGTGACAGCCTCAGGGTTACCTTGGATATTTCTGTTTTGTTTAATTGGTCTGTCTCTGCAAGCTACAAGTACTGACTGGGTGATTTTCTTTATTTTTAAGGAGGATCAGAGTCTGCGATGCCAGATGTGAGTAATATTACCAGTGCATCAAAAGCCATTTTTGTAATTCTAGCATGACAATATATTTGAAAGCAGATACCGGTTATTACAAAGCCTGGATCCATTATTATGCATCCGACATGGACTCCACTGCAGGTTCACTTCAGAGGCAGGTTCACTCTGCTTCACTTAGTTGTTCCACTGAGTGCAGGGAGCTTCAATTTGATTATGACTTATTGAATATATGAAAAGTATATATGAAGATGTATATATAAACTGATGAAGGTTATATATATTATATCCTTTGTAATTTTGGGCTGTAAAGATAAACTTGACATGACAATACCACATTCTCTGATAACTGCAATGATGCATTTGCCTTGTATTACAAATGTAATAGTGGAGTTACAGATGTGGACAGATGTTTATATGCAGTTTCAAGCATCGGGTAAAATATACCAGGTGTTCCAGCGGTGTGATGTCACAATCCACAAGTCTGATAGCTCTGCCATCTTGTCTTCAGATACCTGTTCCTTCAATCACTCTCCCCTCCAGCCGCTGGTCCTGGGACCCAGAGGAGGAGCGCAGGAGACAAGAAAAATGGCAGAAGGAACAGGAGCGCCTCCTACAGGTACATAAAGGCACACGCATGTAGCAGCGATGTTTTTTGTTTCGCCCCCAGCGATGTTTGTTATACTGATGGAGTCTAGTAAAACAATAAATCCTTCCCACGTGAAGATTATAATGTTCAGTTTTGGTTGGAAATGAGAGCAGCAGTTTGTGTTCCGTTACATTGAAAGGTTTTTAGATGGTGAACTTATTAATCCAGGCAGTAAATTCCAGTGCTGCAGCTCATAAATGTCACAAAGTCATAAATACAGCAATAAAGTCTGAAAACAATGGAATAAGTATCAGACCGCAGTAGGTTTAGATATGTGTACCTACTAAATTGGACATGGAGTTTATAGCCCATTAAAAATAATGGAAAATACCAAATGAAGCAAACTCAAAATTCATTTGATCTGATAACCAGCTGGAATCAATTCTGTGTCCTGTGTCCCAATGACATGAGAGCAACGAGAAGCAGCGTCTGCTCCTACAGGGCTGAGATCAGAAAACCTCAGACAGCGCTGCTGAAAGTAAAGCATCTGCAGAGTAGCCAATTTGTATGTAGTAGAATCCTGTCAAAACATTTTTCTGCGGGTCTATTTCTGGATGGAGATCAAAGGTGTCGAGCAGAGCGCCGGTGAAGCCGTGAAGCCGTGAAGCCGCGTTTACTCCTCCAGTCTTTTCCCCGTTGGATAAACGGCCTGTTTTCAGGATGTGCCAGAGAGACTTCCTGCCCAGGGCAAGAATTCTCTGGGTTCTTATCGACTTTCAAGATGGTTAGGTAACACGTAAGGGAGCTTGGTAGTATATGAAAATAATCAAAAAAAAAATTTCATTACTTTTTTACCCCCTGTTTCTGCACAAGCCAGAAAATAATGTTCCTGAAATAAAAAGTTTTTGCAGTAGTTGTGGGACCAGTTTGAGGGAGAATGTGGAGACTCTGAGTTCTGGTGTGCCTGGTGTTCTTTGACAGTCATTCTGCAGTTGCCTCTGACCTCTCATCCAAATATTTGTCATCCAGGAGAAATATAAGCGTGACCAGGAGAAGCTGCAGGAGGAGTGGCTGAAGGCTCAGGAGGAGATCAACACGACCGTGGACCAGCCAGATTCAGCAAAGGTATTTTAAATCTACAGTGAGGAACTTCTGTCTCCCCACTCTGGTAAATAGAGTAATTACACAGTTGAATACAAAGAAATGTTTAAAGGCAATAAACTACAAAATATTCTGCATATGCCAACCTGTCTAAGTGTTGATAGGCAACATCCACCAACATCTACCCTCAGCTCCTTCAGCTCCCAAAAGCCCAACAGTCAAAGTTGATGGCTTTCTCTTCTGAAACCAGGGTTTCTTTATTTATCTGTCACTCAGAAACTTTCAGGTTCCCCCGTCAAACTCTCGGCTTTCGAACCAGCTCCGTCTCTGTTGTTATACGGTTTGTTCTGAACCTCATCTCTTGCAAACAACTCATTGCTACCGGTGCAGCGATATCGCCACAGATACCAGATTTAAATCTCATTTAATGAAATGTACAGAGAGAGTTGCCTGCAGCGGATTAGCTTTATTCTTTTGGTGGAGCTCAAGTATAACTTTCATTTATATGTATACGTCTTACACAGCTTTAATGTGAATACATTTCAAAACATTTAGTGATTTTTGTCACCACAGGGAATTTCTCCATCTTTGTTGCACTTCCTCCTGGAGGGTTAATGAGGGTGAGATCAGTTAAAGCTGTCGGGTGCTCCAACACTTTTTCTTTCATCTGTCTGTGCAGCCCAGCAGCCTGGAGGGGAACAGCTACAGCATCAGCCCACACTCGCCCCTCTTTCCTGTCAACCAGCCTACTTCTTCTCAGTGGGAAGAGGAAGAGAGACAGAGGAAGGAGGAGCAGGAGCGCCGAAGGCAGGAGGAGGAGAAGAGGAAGCGGGAGGAGGAGGAACGAGAGCTGTGGCGTCTGCGGGAGGAGAGGGAGAGGAAGGAGAGGCAGGCAGAGGAGGAGAGGAAGAGGAGGGAGGAGGAGAAGAGKAAGCGGGAGGAGGAGGAGAGAGAGCTGCAGCGTCTGAGGGAGGAGAGGGAGAGGAAGGAGAGGCAGGCGGAGGAGGAGAAGAGGAAGCGGGAGGAGGAGGAAAGAGAGCTGTGGCGTCTGAGGGAGGAGAGGGAGAGGAAGGAGAGGCAGGCGGAGGAGGAGAAGAGGAAGCGGGAGGAGGAGGAGAGGGAGAGGAGGAAGAGGGAGGAGGAGGAGGAGAGGAAGAGGAAGGAGGAGGAGCTGAGGAAAAGAGAGGAGGCGAGGGAGGAGGAGCGGAGGTGGCAGGAAGCTTTGGAGCAGCAGCACAGAGAGCGGGAGCGAGCCTTCCAGCAGCAGCAGCAGCAGCAGCAGCAGCAGCAGTGGTCAGTAGAGACGCTGCTCCCTCCTGTTCTCTGCATAACACTTCAACTCACGTGTCTTTTGTCCGACATGCTCATATTAACACACTCACATGTCAAACATTACATGCTTTATCATCTGTGCATGAACATAACTGCAACTAACGTGTTGGCATGTGCTTTGTCGCCCACCTCTGTGTGTCACTCAACTCTCTGCACACTGCTCATCACCAAAGGGCTGCTGACTCCCATGGCTTTAATGTGCAGCCTGCACTGTCCTTTTCTGACAGGTCAGTACAGGATCTGAGGTTATTATCAAACTGCACCTGCAGCCTGGAGATGATGTTTCTTTTTATATTCAGCTGACCAGCCATCGCCACGGATAAAAACCTTCTCGTACAACACATACTTTTAATTCCATGTTTACTTTATTCCCTGTTTTGATCAACAACAACACTAATGTTTTAGTATGGTCACAATTTTTTTCAATATTTTAATATATTGACTTTAAAAAGTTGCATTGTTAAAAAACTCAATGGCAGATCCCAAATTTATAAAGGGTGCTGTACAATGGCATATAGAATGGAAATAGAAAGGTTTTACAGTCTCCTTAAATCAAATAAAAATACACACAATCATTCATATCAGTTCCCTAAATATACCTGATTTTTTTCCTGGGAAAATAGTGGAAAAGAGTCGTACACAAACAGACAAACAGCAGAGAGAACATGACCATGGCTGAGGGAACAATCTCACTAAATGTTTCAAACTTCACTATATATGTGAGTCATTATTTTTTTCTACACTTTTCCTGCACAGAAGAAAATTGTCTCATCTTTACTGAGTAGCTTGTCCAGTAGAGGTTTTATGCATTTGAACCGAATCACTCAAGCGTCTCTATGTATAGAAGGTCCTCCAGGAACGGGTTAGGTCTCCAGCTGGGACTGAAATTACCTGAGATTTGTCTGTAATCAGCAGTTTCCCTTTATAGAGCTCTGCTCTGTAGCAAAAGTTAAATATTCTTTATTATTGAGTCGGTCGTACTCATGGTCATTTCAAATTCAAATGTAAAATGAATGAGTTTTTATTCTAGATTAGTTTATTTAGTTTATCACCAATTACTGTAATTTTAAATATAATTTTCTTTTGTCTGACAGGGCAAAATCCAAATCGTCTCCCCAGCTCGATGCAGAGGACAAACCTCAGAGGAGAGGTCAGTTTTCTGTATTCATTACATTTTACCATAACAGTACACGTGGTGGTAACTTTTTTGTGAACACCACATTGACGTCGGGCTGAGATCATATCCGCATTGGCCTATTTTAAGCCTCCTTTAGGTTGTTCAATAAAAGACTATGTACACATGTTGCACATGCACCTGACTGTAGGTGAGAACGTACAGCAGGGGGGCATGGCCCATTGGCTGCTGGAGGAGCAGATGAGGAGTGAGCGTGTCAAGCAGACCCGGAGTCAGAGGGCTGCGTCAGAGCTGGAGATGGAGCGGAGGAACATCCTCAACGCCATGAGATACAGAGAGCCGGAGAGAGGTGGGCTCGGCCCTCGAAGCTCCGCCCTCTCAATTTTAATCAGAAAAAAAAAAAAATCACCTTTTATTTTGAATTTTTGGATCAGCTGATCAATCACATGTGACATTTCACCTAATCAAGATGCAGCTTCTTGATTAAAAGGCTGAACGACCAAAAAATTTACTGATTGATTACAGTGGGATGTATTTAATGTGTTTTTGCTCCCGTGATTTAAAAATATTTAAAGAAATCGTCTATTCGTATGCTGCTGCTCATTTCTTCATAATAAGACTTGGGGAACACAGAAACTAAATTATATCCAATGTCTCTTCCCGTCTCCGGTTGGGATCTAAATTCCATTAAAACCTTTTGATTTTGCCCAGTGTAATGTTTGGTTTCTCTCTGTGTGCAGTGACAGGTGGAGGTGGCCTGGATGAGAGTAAGAGTCAACAGGCCCTGTCACAGGCTGAGCTGGAGCGGCAGCAGATCCTGAACGAGATGAAGAAGAAAGCGCCGCTGCTGACTGACAGCAGCTGGATCCGCCAGCGCTCTGCTAACGCGGCCACCAACAAGGAGAGTGACTTGCCACCCATGCGAAGGTAAAGTCCACCCAGCAAGTAAAAAACCATTTCTGCTGTGTGATGGTGGTGTTTGGCATTTTAAACAGGTTCAGTGTGTAGAATTTAGTGACATCTAGTGTTGAAGTTGCATATTGCAGCTGAACACCCCTCACCTCACCCTCCCCTTCCAAACATGGGGGTAAAGAAAACAACAATTAGTACAATTTAGATGAAACACACTAGTGAAAGTAGAAGATCATTATTATTGTTTTGTATTAAATTTCTCCCAATAGATCCCTTTCACCTAAATCTTACACACTGAACCTTTAACTTTTAAAGAAAACATTTATGTGTCTGGCTGCCACTCTGACCCTGCCCTGGCTAGATGGGTTGCACCATTAGTGAGTAAATATCAAATAAAAACTACTGCCACAGGTGCAGTTGGCAGCCAGACGCATTATATGGCTCTACTAACCAGCTTACTTGGGCTTACGTGGCGTGGGTTGGCTTTGCAGAGGCGACTCCCTTGACAACTTGGACGCCTCCTACAACTCGTGGCGCTCGTCGTGGACACCCAGGAGCAACTCTTACGTCCAAAACTACGCCCGGCCTCACTCTGCCTTCTCCGGCAGCTCTTCCTTTTACGCCGGCGGACACAGGCTCCAGAGGCCCGTTTCCGCCACCCTGCCCTCATCCTACTCCATGGGCTCCCTTCGAGGCGGGGCAGGAACCCCCTCGACCCCCTGGTCCCGGCAGACACCTTCCCCCTCGCCCTCGTCTCCGTCACCCACCACCACTCCGGAGCCTATGTCCGAGGCCGGGAGCAGGTAAAGTGGCTGCTTCGCCTAACGCTCAACAAGCTGTCACTGGTATACTGGGTCATAAAACATAGTCAAAGTGGTGGTGTTGTTGTTAAACCATAACTCTGGTGAGGGGGGGCGCGGTGACAAAGGGTTTCTTGAATCTTCCTTTTTTTTTTATACTTTTGAAAGTGTTGTAATGTGTTGTTGCAACTGATATGGAATTATGTGACATGATCTAAACCCTCATCCTCTATTCCAGTGTGTGTGTGTGTGTGTGTGTGTGTGAGGCAAGACCCACATTTTGTGCAATGTTTTCATAATGATAAATGAATACCTTTCATTTTCGTCAGGCATTAAATTTACATATATATGTTTCTTTAAAGCAAGAGTAAAGAAATAACTTAAATTAATACAAATCAATGGAGCCTTTTGTTCTATTTTGGCTAAAACAGGAAATAGAAAATAATATATATATATATATATATATATATATATATATATATTTAAACAACAGCGATAAAATACCATTATATAGAACATGTTTGACCCACATCCAAAATTAAATATTTGAAAAAAGTCAATATTGTCAATACACAAGTAATTTACCAGTTTAGCCCCATTGTATACCAGTGTGTTTTGTGTACGTATTAACATAAATACGTGCGTCTTGCACTTGTGCTCGGCTCTGGAATCACAGCTGTACGTTCTGTAACCCAGGTCAGTGAGTGGCAAGAAAATCTGTACGTTCTGTGACAGCCCTCTGGGAAAGGGAGCGGCCATGATCATCGAGTCCCTGGGGCTCTGTTATCATTTGAGCTGCTTTAAGGTGAGAGCTGGGCTCCCGGCTGCCTCGGAGCACATCTGCAGCACGACTCTTCACCAATCCTCCAAAAACTAACCTGATCCCTTCCAGACTCTACTTTTTTCCCTCTTGTTACTTACCTGTTGAATCTGGAGGTCCTGATCCCTGAAAGTAGATCGTCTGTGCCAAAACCTGACAAACTAATCAACCCCTCACGTTGTTTCTTTCTATAAAAACACGACTCTGGTTGTTGATGTATCCTGAAATCTTTGGTGTCCCGCATCTGGATGGTTTTCCTTCTTGTCTTTTGACTTGTATTCCTCTTCTTCCCTTACTTTTCTCTTTCTGTACATACATTCAAGGTCTTTCTCTCTCTCTGTCCTCATCCCTCCGCCTGTGGACTCGGACACTTCTTTGCAGCTTTAACGAGTCGAGCAGGTCTCTAACTCTTCCCTCTGCTAAACCTCCGCAGTGTATCGACTGTAAGGCTAACCTCGGAGGAACGGAAGCTGGGGCTGAAGTCAGAATACGAAACAAACAGCTCTACTGTAACTCCTGCTACATGCGATTCAAAAGTAAGCGACTGACGAATCTTACCAACATCAAGATGTGATGTGTTTTTCTTTAGATGTAACGTTTCTGCTTGTTTCCTTTCAGCCGGTCAGCCCACCGCTATGTGACATCACTGTCCTCCAGCAGATCGACGAAGAGACTACTTGTGACAACAACCCATGAACACCGGCTCCGTCGCAAACAGCCGGAAACCCTCGGCTCGGACACACCTCCATTTACGACTCTAGAAATCTCCCTTTTGTCTCATTGAGCAGAATCATGTTTTGTGTTTTTACAGTGTGCGATTGAGAGGGTATGAGCTTGCAAAGACATTATCTACTTTAACATGTTTATATCGTATTAAGTATTACAGCCATGCAAATTGTAAGGGTTGTGCATGCACCAGAGCTTTTTTTTTTTTTCGATGTTTTAGCCGTTAAACTAGTCGAGCAATAAACAGACTTTAAGATCCCACAGGCGGGGGCTGTCATATGAGACAGATTTTCCAGATATGAGAAAGAACCCTGCAGGATCATCCTCCTTCTCGTTTTCACGCTTGTTTTGTTTTCTGCTGAATCTCGTGGTTATAACGTGTTTGTCAGCCAAGGTGTTCTCGTCATGTGTATGTGCCTTTTTCATTGGTAACAGGGAGAAGTGATTAAGATTATCAGAATTCTTTCAAAATATATTTAAAAAGAGAAACTTCTGCTTGGATAGCACTTGTCTGGAGTTATTGCTGATAGATGGAGGATTGTACACAGAAGCAGGTTTCCACGTGAAGATTATATATCCCATTGAATGGCATTGAGGCAAAATGGTAACATTTGTAAATAAAACGACTAAATCCTCATCCCGGGCTTTTGTTTTTGTTGGAATTGCGTAATTCTTTTGTGTTGATATTCAGGTACAGCCTATGATGCAAGGCTTTTCCTGCTTCTGATCAGAAATCATTATACTCATCTTTCTCCGTCCGTCCCTCTCATTCTCCGTCTCTGTAGCGCTACAGTCGAAATGAATGGAATTTCAATGAGCCTTTGTGCAAAGGTTCAGAGGACCTTCCTGCTTTGTGCTCTCCAAAGCCAATTTGTCATGCATATTTCATTCAGTGTGCATGCATTACATTTGATTACACATTGATAGGCTAGCTCCTTAATGTATTCTGTCATTCTAGCTCGTATTGCATATTCATACGAGCAGGAGAGCACATAGTCTGCAGCCCCCTCACTGTGTTTGAGCAGCAAAGGTAAGAAATTGTCCTCATTTGCCATAAATGGAAGGAAGCTCAACTGAAGCAATAAATGGAAATAAGCTGGACCCAAGCATAAATTGGCTCCTTATTGTGAAGCACAAACAGCCCCCGGAGGCAGACCTCTCAAATTCCTTGATCCCATTTTTAGATTTTTCTTGTTGCTCCTGTGGAGGAGAGGAGAGACAGAGATCTTAATCCTCGTGCTTGGGGAAACAAGAACGGCCTGAATGGCACCGAGCAGAGCGGCTGGGAAATATAAAACCTTTCAGGATAAGTATCCTGTATTTTCCCTCCAAAGCAGAGGCCGCAACCAGCCTGTATGGAAAGGCTTTGACGTGGAGAATCAAACAGCTTCTGTGAGTGTGTGTGTGTTAGAGCTTACAGAGAAACGATGCTGCTCAGAAGAAAAACATCGGCAAAAAGATGGAACACAGATGGAAGGTCCCAGATAAGCAAGCGTGCTCTACCCTCCATCCTCTTTTTCCTTTGTGCCGCTTCACCTGGAGGAAAGATTTCCCACTTTTCAGGTGATTTTTCAAGCAGGCCCATGAAGATTCACCTCATATTCACCTCACAATCAACCCACAAGAACTAGTCATGCTCCATCTCCACAACAAAGAATCTGTTGGGAGATTTTCTGATGTTTAAGTGTCGCTTGGACCGACCAGAAGGGGGCACTGTGATCTAAGCTTGAGATGATCTTTATTAAGCTGCAGATGGATGGAAACTTTGCACTTGTATGCATTGTCATTTAGCATTAGAGACTTTGTAGAAGGTACAGATGATGCATCGTCATGAATGTGAATTTTACACAGTAATTTAAAAACATAATACCTCATGTAATATGTCATGGGATTGTGTGATTGTGTTTTTCAGGTTTTCTGTCCATCTATCCGTCCGTCATGAAAATGTCATATCTCAAAAATGCTGTGTGGGAATTTTATTAAATTTGGTACAAAGGTTCACTTGGATTCGACTTCGGTGGCCAACTGCCCCGAGTCAAGGTCACTCTGAACTTACATTTTCCTAAACATGATCCATCAGAAATGTCCAGAGGAAACTTTATGACATCAGGCATAAATACTTTATAATTAACTTTAGAACTTAGTGTTTCCTCATGAACACAATATCGCTGGACTGCCTCGAGGAAATCTCCTCTGACTGACATCACACAGCAAGAGTCACAGTGAAGAACCCTGCTGGCCTGGACAATTATGAGTTGACTCAGCACAAAAAACAACAGCTTTCATATTGATCTCTTTAAAGCAGAATGTGCACATGAGATTAGCATTTTGCAACATCTAAGCAGTAGCAGTCTGATTCCTCAAGCTGGGACGCTCTTCTTTAATTTATGTGCTCTTCTCTGTAAACACGGTGCGTCATCCTCACGATCCTGTGTGGTTTCTGATGATGAATAATCTTTGTGAACAGGTCTCTACATGGACCTGCTGTCAAGACAAGTGGTAGTCATGATTTTTTTGGGAAGGGGGTTAATCAAAGTTCAAATATTATTTCTACTTCTGACTCACGTTCGACCCACAACACTATTTTCTTTACCGGTGTCTTAAGAAAGCTGCACCTCCTGCCACTTGCTACCTTGAATGATGCTTTTCACAATTTAGAGGAGCCGTCAGGCACCTTTTCAACTGCAGCTTGAACTGAAGCTATAATTGGTCATGTAATTGCAGATACTGTCTCTCTCTAGACCTGTTGCCATGGCTTGCAGGCGTCATGCGTGCAGCTAGAAGCTCCGTCATGACTTCAATAAACCGCAGGGATTAAAGAAAATGGACTTGAAGTAAGAGAGTTTTCCCAGCTCATTTACAGAAGCATAGCACAATTTGTTTTTAGCAGGTGACGATTAAATTCATCCAAATGCAGGAGGAAAAAGAAACCTCTCCTCCTCTGAGAACTCCATGCAGCCATGTTACAGGAAACTTATCAGGAAAGGGAACATCTGAGATTTCGTGACCTTAAAGAACACTCTCATTTATTTTCGTTCCTCTATTTAGCGGCTGAGGAGGGAAAAAGCCTCACTGGTGATGAGATGCATTGGAGTCGCTTTTGCATTTGGCGGGGGAAGAGAAAACGAGCAGTGAAAGTGTTACATGACTCTGGAATGATAAGACTGCACGGTCACAGCTGGGACACCCTGATATGCTTGAGACTTCATTATGCCCGGGGTGACAGGGGACCAACTTTTCTGTCCTCATATTAATTCATCCCGGTTCAGTCCTATACAGACGAGAATGAGTCGGAATACTGATTCTCGCTTAAAGCATATCCACGTTTTAGCTGGTGTTGCTGTGTGTTTACATCAGGGGGAGATACACAGAGGAAAGAAATAATTTGCTGAGACTGAACACGATCAAATGCATCCATGTGCCAAATATCACCCCATTCATATTTTCTATTTATACTGTTGTACTGAACATGAAAGCTGCTTCCCAGCCTGCTCCATCTGTTCCGCCATCATCCATGCATCTTTGGTTGCATATCATCTTTTCAGCACAGTCACATTGATACAAGTAGATTTTGCTCCTCTGTAAGAGTTACAGCAGCAGCCATGCTGGTTCAGCACGAGTCCACGACCACGGTGCTTGTCTGTCATAGGCTGACAGTGACGTCGTACCGCAGCCCGTCAAGAAGAGGTCATCTTTTACCCTGTCACCCTTTCGCTCTTTTCACTACCCTGGTCCTCGCATGTCACCCTGGATTAAAGTTAATTAGAATTTCATCACAGGGAAACTTAAAAGAGAGGATGACACGCTCGCAAATCTGCCCTTCATTTGATATCAGGAGATTCATGTTGACGTCTGTGCCACACACATCACTACAAAGTCAGGCGGTGTGATGGACGGCCTGTTTGTACCTGCTACCCACAACATCCAGCAACACAGTCCCTGACACAGAAATGTCTCCAACTAGTCTCCCTGAGTATTATTGTCATGTTGGCAACAGTTCAGAGGTAACACAATCACATGTATTCTATGTGCATTTGTGACAAATCCACTTCATCTCTAGTTACATCCACAGAGGACCCAAGAAAAATGTGAAGCTAAATCATCTTGATCACCCCCTGGTGGCTTGCTGCAGTATAGATAATAATCCCTGCCTCCTCCATGTTAGTGGATGGGTGCACAGTGTCAAAGTACAAGTCCAATATTTTTTTCTCAAAGATGGTTTCTGTCATATAGGGTTAAACCAAAGTTTGTAAGATCATGTAATGTGCATATTTAATGTTTAAAATCTTTCTTCTCACTTAAAACATTTAGTGATGACCACCACACTTCAGCCAGGTGAATAGTACAGTTGACAAAATTGTAAAAATGACGAGCAGATTGAAATGTTCTTTCAAAGTGTTTGGAAACTGCTCCCGGCCCAGTCTGATTTTTCAACCACTGACAGAGAGGAAATATTATTGTTAACATTCGTGGTGTGTCAGAGTTAGATTATAGACATGAAGGAAATGTATAGTTTTTCTTACTTTTGATCTAAATGTGCAGCTCCAGGAGCCATTAATCATAAAATATGTGTCATATTTAAAAGGCAAAGGCGAATAAGAGAGAGAGTGTGTGTGTGTGTGTGTGTGTGTGTGTGTGTGTCTGTGTGGATACATGTCAAATTTGAGTTCAGGACATTTCTACATGACATTTTGGCTCACCCTCACCACTTCAAAGGCCTGTGTGTGTGTGTGTGTGTGTGTGTGTGTGTGTGTGTGTGTGTGTGTGTGTTGCAGAGGGGGCAGCATTGACAAAAGGGGAGCAGCATTGTGTAAATTCATCTGTGCCAGGACACTGTCACACACCCTGCGTGCCTCAGGGAGCTGTGGAGAGTGTTTGTGACTGTGCATGAGCGACGCTCATTCACTGCTGGATGTAGCGATGCCAGAGCCCAGCTTTGTTCCACACACTCTCTCTCTCTCTGAGTAGCCATATGGGCAACTCAATAATCCTCTGGATCATCTGAGGCCAACCTGAGGCTGAAACAGCTCAATGAAAACAGACTGACGGCAAAACCATTTGCTGTCTTTGTTTCAATTGATGGCAATCCATCACCTCAGAGGCTACAAAGTGTAGAATTTGCTATTTGTTAAAGGATTAATACTTTTTTGCAACCTGAGAGATTCTGAATTATCTAAAAAAAAAAACAAGTACATTAGTGGATTCATTGCTTTGTTATAATCCTTCATTTTATTTTGGGCTAAAATAAGATCTTTTTGTGGAACTCCCACCACTTTAGACAGAACAGTCTGTTGTGCAGATTACATCATGGTAAATGTGGAGTTCAGTGTAACAGATACTTTGGTTCCCAGCTTTTGAGATAATGGACCAGCCCATGTTTTATATAGCTATCTGAACTATTTTCATGCTGAAATACACAAATACAAGTACCTGCAGACATGGCACCAGGGCTGAGTGAGTGAGATTTTCAAGGTTCAGCTATAATACATATTTTTTACAACAATAGGAGGATAGTTACCTGAACCTTCACCTCCTCTCAGCGTCACAGAGCAATTTTCAGCTCAGTGCACAACTTTACTGTTATGGCTGACTCTGGCACAGAGCTGACCCGAAGCATAAACACACTAAGCAGCTAAT